AGCCCCCCTCCCCGCAGCTCATCCCCTTTGGGCCTGGGTATTGCCAGCACCATGCAATGCTTCCGCAGCACCACCTGCTACCTTACGGGTTGGATTTCCCAGCCTCCTTTCTGAGTCTCCTCGTGCGTGTTGAATCCGCCGCCCGCGTTTGCATGCACAGATCCATGCGGTGGGCTGGGGGCGCCTGAGGGGAACGGCTGGACCTGTTTGCTGTGCACACACGCCGCATTTCCCTGGTCTGCTGGGGGGAGGGCCGCGTCCTCCATGGCTTTGCTCTGCGTCGGATGCGGGCGGCGGGACCGCGGCGGGTTTGGACGGTCCCGCCGCCCACGTCCTTCGGGGCGAGAAAAGCCCCGTTCGTAAGTACGGATCCGACATAAGTCAGATCCGCGTAACCTGGGGACTGCCTGTATTCTGAAATGCCGCAAAAAGACAGAAATATTCAGACACTTCAGGTCTACAGATTATCTTCATTCACCTGACTCTGTGTGAAGTAGAATAAAACCTCTTTGGGGCAAATTCAGGGAAATTGCTGCTATCATCTGCACAATCAGGAAAGATTACACCTTCAGTTTAGGAGACTTTCATGAGAAGGCATGAAAGGGGTGAGGAATATGGAATGAAATTGTTTCAGAGGGACTCTATAGCCCTCCTCCAGCATCCATCTGTCTGATGTGATAAAGTCCCAGTTCGGTAGATAATGGAAGAAAAAAATCTCCAAAGAATAAATTGAGGGGGAAGCTGAGCAGCTTGAGAGCCAACATAGACCTGTTGCATCCTTCTGTCCCTGGGCTGGTGTCTCAGCAATCAAGAAGGGTATGGACATTGTAGATTAGCTGTTTGACAGACAGGAATGGATGAATCCTAATGCTCTTTTCCTTCTGTTTACAATATGCATATACTCCTTATGAATGATTTGAAGGCAGTGTGGATAAAGCTTTTTATAGCCACAGTAGCAGCATTTAATCCTCTAGTGAGATTGCTGTATAAAATACCTTAGCTCAACCTTAGGATTGTTACAATCCCTTGGTTAGAACAAGCAGTGGGAGGTCATGCAAGTAGCTGCTACAAGCAGGACTCAAGCCTTTTATGATTGCTCATTTCAAGACCTATTCTCTCTGTCAATCATTATCATGTGTTTACTAACTATACTAGTTAGACTCCCATTACAAAGCAGCTATTAGGCTATTCATCTTAGCAGAAACTAATCCCAGGTACTTGCTCTTGACAACTGTATTTATGATGTTCTGGCCAGCAAACACTGTACACTTTGACAAACCAGATGTAGCTCTGAGAAAAGCTAGTTCCAAAAGAGATAGGTGGATTGATTGTGCCGGCTTGACTAATATGACTAAAGGAATAGGGGTCTGACTCTGAAGAAAGTAATTCTGAAAGCATAACAGTGAGAACATTAGGAAAGAATTTAAAATGGACAGAAAAGGTTCGTCGCTTTACAAGGGGGGGGTGGCTATTCCTGAAAGGAAAGAAGCCTGATCATTTGTAATTGAAAATGAGTTTGGACATTGCTGTCAGGACAAGCTTTTATTACCAGAGATGAACTGGATTATTAAGTCTTATCCCTCTTACCGTCTCTCTTCATAGTAGAGATGGGAGACAAACATGTTCAGAATGGTCATTTGCAACAAACACTTTCATTTAAGTTTTTCTAGATATTTACAGCAGGTTGTGTATGTGTATATGCAGAGAGAACAAGAATGTGCACATACTGGTACAAACCAGATTAGATGCCATGCTGGCACTAGGTGTCATGCACTGCATTAGATGTTACTATTGAAAGTGAGAAATATCTCCCATCTTGGATCAAAAGCTACTATCTCCACTCATAGTACAATTATAAAATGGCAGGGTTCTTCTTCAGTCAATAAGCCTTTGAAAAAATGTGATCTTAACCTATTGTTTATGTGCAATATAGTCTGAGTCTGGTTTTAGTGAGCTATTCAAGAATAGTTGGTCACTGTTTCAGCTTTGTGTTTAAAATGTAATTCTCAAAAGCAAAAAGTTTATTTTCAAGACATTTAGTGTTGAATTTGTAAATAAGAACATAGTATAAAAATACTTCCACTAACCAACTCCATTTTTCTTACTAATGATCTATATTGTATTATAGTGTGAAGAATATACAAATTCTCTCTGGAAAAAGGCAAACTTACCTCAAAAAGATACTTTACCGCCACTGCTACAATGCTGAAGTGACTAGGCTGTAGTAAGGCACTGAAGTAAATTTGTATCAATGTGTGTTATGTAAGCCCTCTGTACATACCCAGTTGATTCCAATAAAGCAGGGGTGGGGAACTTACAACCCAAAGGCCAGATTCAACCCCCAGCTTCTCTGGATCTAGCCCCTGAGTCTTGGGGCTCCCCGCCCCCAGTACCAGGGAGCTTGCACTGGTGCTTCAAACCCACAGCCCCCCACCCTCACACTCATCCAGACCTCATACTACAACCCTGCTTCCCGGAAGCCCCCTCCCACAGACTAAACCACTCATTTTTGGCCCATCCTAGAGGCAGGGGGCCTACAAAATCTACTTGCCTAGACCCTAGTATGCAAGGGGAATGTGGGGAGTGTCTTCTCAATTGGGGGCCACATCAATGAGGGCTTTGTTTTTGCTTCTATACTTTTGTGCAGACCCCCCTCCCAAAGAAAGGTTTCTCACCCCTGCAATAAAGCTTCAAGAATGTAGTGAACAATCTACCAATGAACATACCCCCAACCTAGAAATAGGAACAGTCAGAGAGATTCTGGTGTTTTTATTGCTTTTGAAGTGAGGTAAATGCTTTCCTCACTAACTAAAGAAAGCTATCCAACCTTGTGCAAATATTAGCCACAAGGCCTTTAAGACTGTTAATACTGTAGGAGAAGTAGGAAGCCTATTTTCCCAAAGTCAATCCTTTGCAAACAGACCAGTCATGGAAGTATCCTTTTAAACAAAGGGAAAAAATTAAAGTAATTCTTGTTTTGGAGAGAAAACTATGCTTCTACTGCACTATTAGCAAATCACTGAGTAAAATTACTTTACACTATAACTACTATTTCCATTCAGGACTTTGATTAAAAAAAACTTAATTCATATACAATTTCTACTATCAATTTAGTTTAAAGAGCTCCATACTCACAAATTAAACAAAATGACATGTTTAGGACTCTGATTTACTTGGTGTTACATAGTAGTACTAGAATCCACATCTGTCCCTATTTAGATGTTACTAGAAATTAGACAATTATGTTGGACAAAATAAGAAATCCACTTTATGGAATTTAGCAGATTGGTACTGTTAAATGCTATTTACTCATAGTAGTCAATCATTACTAGTAAAAGAAAGTGTTAGCTACAGACATTCTTTCATGCCTTACTCAAAATATAATATTTACAAGTTTGTGACAAGGGCAATGTTGTAACTTATCCATTTGTCCTTGATGCTATGCTGATATATGGGTCTTCACATGTGCTTCCTGCACTTCCTTGACCATCAGAATTCTGGTCAACATCTGCTCCATCGCATCCACTTTCACAGGCTGAGCAGAGTACCAGATTGGACTGTTTGGTGCCACAACTGGTTCAGGGACCAGATAGAAGGTATCACTCGGCCCTTTGGCACCCTGGGGGCTATAAAGAAAATTTGAATTATACTAAGCAACATACTACATAGTTTTGACTCCTTTGAAGAGTAAAATTAGTACTGAATTTCTTGTTTATTATGTAGTAAGACTTATTTGTTCCCACACACTAAAAG